CTATACAACACTTCAACATAACAGAGCCAACCTGGAAAAGACAAGATAGATATAGCCAAATAGATGATATATGGTTACTAACATCAATACTATACCAATATTCAAAGATACAACTCATACCACCTGACGAAATTACGAATAGCGACCACTAAATACTTAAAATAACCTGGCAAACCAACCCAATATTCAAGATACAAAGAAGAAATAAATAAAAACATTGGATATATAAATATAATGAAATGACCAACAACTCATTGGAAAACTTTGCACAAGATGTATCAACTAAACTCAACAATATGAAGATTGCAACAATGATTACAAATATACAGAAGCTAGATAAGATATAGAATCAACTGTGTACAACAGTAATAACAGTGGCAAAAAAGAATATATCAAGAACAAAAGTTAGACCAAAGACCTACTATGCATTCTTAGCAAAAGCTACAAAACTACACAGTGCACTAATAAAAATTAACAAAACACTCAGAAATCTAAAAAACAATAATGAGAACACGACAAATATAGAAAACATAAACAAAAGTATACAGAAAATCAACAAACTAGCAGCAACAGAAATCTCAACAATTAATGAGAAAATAACAAAGCAACAATATAACCAAATGTATGAGCAAATCAAATCCTATCAAAAAACGAAACACGCAGCAAGGCAAATTGAAAATAACGCAAATCATAGAAAGCAAATTAACCAACATATCAATAACAGGTATAACAACTTCTAAGCAAACACAACAAAAATGATAGATAGCATTCTAAACTGATATACAAATCTGATACACTTTGAAAATATAAAAGAAGATGATAAGCTATATACAAAATCAAAAAAAATAAAGCAGAAAATACAACAATACTTCGAAACGTGGACCAAACACAACAATCTTAATATACTAATATAGAAGACGTGACAAAAAGAATATTAGCCCCTACAGTATATACAATTTAGTTGGTATGATAAACTGACCCAAACTATAACACTAAAAGAACTCGAGCTAACAATTAATGAAGCACTTACAAATAAGGCTCCTAGATCTCAACAAATAAGCAATGAAATGTTAAAACATTTAAACAATGATACATTGCTAGTATTATTAAAGATATTCAATGCAAGTCTTACACTACAAACTATACCAAAAATGTAGAAACAGAGTGCAGTCTACCCTATATCAAAAAAACCCAAATTCAATAGGCAGCTTAGTCAAACAAGACCTATTATGTTAATAGAAAACACTAGAAAAATTTTTACTAAAATACTAACAAGAAGAATAAGCACGATTTGTATACAATATCCAATACTAAATACTAACAACTATGTAGCACTGCCAAATACATCAACAATGATATCTATTCAAACACTTTTACACATAATAGAAGATGCTTATACAAACAAAGAACAACTGTGGTTACTATTACAAAATATGTCAAAAGCGTATGATTCGATATACATATCATTGCTTAAAATGGCACTACAAAGACTAAAAATACCTAATAGCATTATAGCATTGATTACAGAAATATTTACAGTCAGATCAAACTATGTAATTACAAATTTAGGGAATACAAACAAATACCCAGTATATGACG